AGAAACATTGACTTTTATAAAATTGGCCATAGTGTTCATTCATAATTCATCTTTTTCTATCTTTTACATAGCCTTGTGCAGGAAATAACTTTGAGTCCAGGAAATTCCTGTGTTAACCACTTCCATCTATAAAGATTGAAATTCTTTTGTAGGGATGTACAAAACATTACTTTCGTAATAACTGGTACTTTTCTGAGTTTGACATTGTATGATGTCTAGCGCCCTCTACCAGCATCTCATACAATCTGTCCTTGTCTTGTTATTTTATCTAAACTGAAATCCTTCTTCCTTAAATTATTACTGTTTTATCAGCACTAGTCTGATGCAAGTTACTGTGCTCTGGTCCCAGTAAATCAATTAACATTTGCACATTATGCCGACCATGTTGGGTACTAGTAGTTTCAGCACTTGAAACACCACCATGTGGTATTGTTATGTTTTTTTCTTTTCTTACAGGATCGTAAAGCTATCATCAAATCGTTCAAGACCTTTGTTCTTAAAATATGTCGAGAAGAGTTTGGACATTTAGTCATGTTGGCAATATTTGATGCAGTAGATGATACAAAATTGGTTTCCAAAGTCCTCTTAAATGTAGGTACAATGTTTATTCTTCATCAGACATAGTCTGGAATGAGGTTTAAGTTTGGAGTGTTGTCTGTATGACCACCCTTGTGTTTGACATTATTCCGTTATAATTGTGAGAAGAAGTCGGCAGAATTTACTCTTTGTGTACAGCCAGCCTTGGTATTTGAACCATCTCTCTGATGTTGAGTAGACATGTTAACCACATATCACATCTAAATTAAAATTCAAATCTGTATCAACCATTATATATTATTATATTATATATTCAGTCGAATTTTTTTCTTGTTTTTAGGAAATGTTGAAAGATTTGTCAACAATTGCCATGGATACATATGGGCGTAAAGTACTACTGTATTTATTAGGTGGGCGAGATCCAAGTTATTGTCATCCAGATATTGTAAAAATATTACAAGGAGGTGACAATAATCCCACCAGGTAAGGCCATGATTGGTGCAGTCAAATTATTGTATATATTGTGAGGTTCTTAATTAGGATAAATACCCAAATGTTGTCAGTATTGCCACATTTATGAGACTTGCTTGTCAGAAATTTTGTAATGAAATTAAGCTGGTACAGTACATGATTCGACTTACAGAACATGTATCAAATCAAATTTAGTATTCTCTGATGGTACAGTGCTTCCATGTAATCTGGCTAATTTTATACTCTGGGGTGAGGAATGATCTATCAGTTTACTCAGTTATGCAGAAATGCATAAATGAATCTGAAAACTCTGTATGATATGACCGTGCTGCACAGTAGCCTGAATAAAAGTGTCTGAAATGAATTAAAGTCTCACAAGTGTGTTGATGAATTATGCTAAAATGACTTGTGTGTTTGGAATCATCTAGGTCTGAACAAAATGTAAAATAGATAAACCCCTATTGCAGTATGTATACAGAGGTTATGCCAGTTTGCTGACAGTACATCATAAAAAAAATATGTGCTCAAAACATACAATCTCTGTGTTCTATTTCTACTCCCCCATAGGTAAAAGTAAACAAAAATATGCATTTCAGAAAATGTATTGAAGTATAAAAAGCTTTGAATATCCAAACAATTAAATGCAAAAATAATTCAATTATATAGTACAATGTATAAATACAATGTAAAAACTTGTAGCTATGCCACCTGAAAACATGGTTTAACCCATATCTGGTCAATTCAGATTAAAAGTACATGGTACTAAAAGTATGATGCATCAATGTGAATGTGTGGGCCTTATAGGAGTACATATTTTCTGCGTTATTACATGAAATGCATGTCTTGATGTGTTTTGTTGGTTTACTATCACCATGGGAGCATATTCTTTAAGAGAATGCCAGACTTCTATGTTTAATTTGTTTTTTTACTTCCTCAGTAAGAAAAGTAGAGATGTGCGACAACGTGAACTGATAGAAGCGGCTTCACCTGGACTGTTGGAGCTTGTTGCCAAGGAAACCAGAGCATTAGTGTTTGATAAATCTCACAGTCAGTTAGTCTTGGCTATATTGCGTCATGCCAAGGGTGGTAAGTATATTTCCACTCATTGATTAATTAAAATTACTGCCTGAATATGGGGGATCTCTGCTTGATTTGACCAATGTTGGGGGAGAGCAAATGCTGTCTTCGTTCAAGGGTTGTAATATTTTTATTGCATGCCTTATGGCTGATATACATGAAATTTACTCTGAATTTATTCTAAATCCAGCTCAACTTTCGTATCTTGAGCCACAATCTTGAAAAACTGTGTAGAAACAGTCCACACGAATAACAATGGTCAATACATTGGTCCACAAAGTATGTTCATCTACTGTACTTATATCCAGGAAAAGAAATATACAATCTTTCATGTAATTTGATTCCTAAATAATGAATTGTTGATACATACAAGTTTTCCAGTGATATATAAACTGATATGTCTGTAACATCATTCACAGACAAATCACATGCAATGAATGCTATTTGTGAATTGGCTGCTGAGGAGTTTATTCCCCATGTGAAAGACTCCGAAGATAAGCTAGATGAGGTACGTACAACAATAACCATTTCACTGCCATATCCTTCCACAAAGTAATCCTCTTTGCTGCTTGCTGCTTTCCATCAAGGTTTTCAGGTCTTTTTATCGATATCTCTTAGCAATTTCAACACATGACTGATTGGTTAACATTAACTTTAAAATATAAGAATATTATGGAAAATTCATTTGCACTAAAATTTTAAGTGGAAACAAATTTGATTGTGAAAATTATATGTGAATATTTCTCAGTAAGTTGCATAGAATCACCACTATGGTTGAACAGTTGAACTGTTTCTGTTGTAATATTGCTAAGAATATTAGTGGTATTAACTATTGAAAAGTAAGCACATCAATTTGAATTTGTAAGAGACACACAATTCAAACAACATCTCATGATGGTACAGTGAACATCTACAACAAATATTCAACTTTCCCACAACATAACAATCAGATAGCATGGATACTATTGAAAATAATGAGCATACTCCGTGTATAATTTTTCCACAAACAAACTCCACTCGCAATGTTTCTTTGAATAATCCAATGTTGTAAGGAAACATATTGATTCAGTTGTGTTCACGGGTTGCTTTTTGTCATTACTCAGTGCATCCATAAAATTCCATACTCCAAAATAAGAAAAAGTCTGGTAGATTAATAATTTCTCTGTACACATGCCAGCACCCAGGTAAATGTTGTGGTATTTTGACTAGAGACAACCACCAGCATGTTCTACAAGTGAGAAAGAATCACATGATTAATAGAAAATGCTTTTTTTTTTTTTAATTATGCGCATCCCAATGTGTCTAACAGTCTCTAGCGGATCTGAAAGTATTTATATTTTGGGTAACAGTAAATGTATGTTTTCCATGTGCTCTGTCATGTTAGTTTTCACTATTTGATATGTGTGTACATTTCTAGATGCATATAGCTGAACACCCAGCAGGTCATCAATTCTTGAAAAGATTAATTCTACAAGATAAAGACAAATCTGAAAAATCGGAAGGTGAGTAGAAGTCTAGTCAGTTTTCATATGATCAATCTGTTGCAATAGCTAATCAAGTATATTCTTTACCTGTGATTTTATGCATTGTGTTACATCAATATTACAACTAGCAGGTCATTTTAAGCTCAAACATCTCATTTTGAAGAAGAAAAATGTATTCTGTAAACTGCTTTAGTTTTCCAAGAGACAAATGTTCATGAATGGATAAGGGGTGATCGATTAGAAACTCCAGGGGGCAATGGCAGAAAAAACTATGCAACATATTTTTTTCCTTCATTTTCTTCATTAGTCTTGCCCTAATTTTTTTTTTATTAATGACTTTGCTGTACTTTTTTTATTTTCTTTGTGTGTAATATTTTTTTTTCCTTAGGAGTTTCAAATGCAGAATTATTTTTTCCTGTGTAATTTTTTTTTCAATTCTGCTATTGCCCCTATCACTACCACCACCACCACCCAGAGTTTCTAATGGTCCACCCCAATCAGAAAACGTGAAATTTTGTAAGAGTGAAAATTATATTTAGCATGTTTAAGACGAGTAACTGATATTCACATAATTTCACCGTCAATGTTATTTACAAGATGAATAAAGACAAAGGTATATAGAATAAGGGTACATATATTCTCTGTTTTCTAGAGTTATTTTCTAATGTTTTGCTGAATGGAGTGAAAAGGCGGTATCTTGTAAGTTGGGCTAAAGTGAACAGATCAGCGTTTGTGCTTTGTAGGTGAGTTATCAGCATTTGTGCTTTGTAGGTGAGTTATCAGCATTTGTGCTTTGTAGAAGAGTTATCAGCATTTGTGCTTTGTAGAAGAGTTATTAGCATTTGTGCTTTGTTAGGTGAGTTATCAGCATTTGTCCTTTGTAGGTGAGTTATTAGCATTTGTGCTTTGTAGGTGAGTTATCAGCATTTGTGCTTTGTAGGTGAGTTATCAGCATTTGTGCTTTGTTAGGTGAGTTATCAGCATTTGTGCTTTGTAGAAGAGTTATTAGCATTTGTCCTTTGTAGGTGAGTTATCAGTGTTTGTGCTTTGTAGGTGAGTTATCAGCTTTCTTAGAAAACAATCACAACAAGGTACTCCCCCTGTGTCGTAAAGTGCCACAGTTATGCAGTATATGATGAAATTAACAGGTCGCATATAACACATATCGGACATGGTACAACTGTATGGAGTATTGAGCACTGAAGCTGTGTTTATCACTATGGTTACATCTCAGTTACAGCAATCAACAAAATTATCATTTGTAGCTATAGTTTTAGAAACGTAATGAAAATAAACATACCATATTGGAGTGGTTGAAATTGGATATAGTATTTGGTAGTTTAATTCAGCCATGACAACTCTTGTGGTATAAAACATGTAACTATTGTATTTTTCTCCTTTCCCAGCATAATGGAATCAGGTATTCAAGAAATTACTGAAAAACTGAAAGAGATACTCTTACCAGCCAAAAAGGAACTGAGTCGATGTAAAACTAAAGGCACTCAATTGTTATTAGAAAAAATGAAATGATACTGCATGGAATGATGTATATTGTATTTTAGATGGGGTTATTTTTTTTTATCACCACAACACCAATATTCAGACATCGAGGCCCCACTTTCCTGCAGTTTCTCATTGGGAGATCTTTTGCACAATTTGTATGTAAATAAAGTACATATATTATTCACTTTCTTACTGGCATAAGATCTCAAGCTGTTCCCATACCAAAGATACTTAGCATTGCATTGTGGGAAATGTATTAACATTTTCAGCTTCTGTTTTAAATTCAGTCTGTATTAAAAGTGCATCTTCACATTTGACTTATTCTGATATATATTTTGTTTATATATGTGTCTTCATGATTGATATGCATTGCATGCAAACTTCAGAAGTCTTCATCGTGCCTGGAATAATTATAAATTAAAGGAGAAGTTCAGACTAACTCTGTTTTTGCTATTTTATTGTTTTTAAAAAAAATTGTGCAGACATGAGGGATTCTACAAGAAATTAACATATATAGCAATTAAATTGCTACAACTGGGTTAATATACCAGAAGCTTACTTCATAAATAAATACCATGACAATGTTCATAAGTTTATTATGTATTATCATGAAACAACATTTTTCGTGTTACAATTTTTCGAGGAAAAAACATAGCAGAAAAGGTCACATGACCACCGATGTTTTTATTCCTGAAATGTGTATATATATTCAATATTCAATCCAAAATGGCTGCTAAACCAGTCGGCCATTCACAATTCTGCATGTTAGGTGCAGCAGTTTGCGAAGTCCCCAATATGTTTGAAAAGCTTCTAAAGTCTACCAGAAGCAGAATCAAATCTTTAACAAAAACAATGGGACTCAAACAGATTTTGACTCAAAAATCCATTGTCACCCTTAGACTATTGCCATTGTCTTCAGACATAGAACTACACAAGAAGGAAAAAGTGGCAAAGAGACCTACCCCAGGCGCAGGAGGTTGTAATGTTTCCGCCTGCCCGATAGGATAATGTTACACAAACAACATTTATACTGACTCTCTTGTTTGTGTAGCCCATACCGGGCGGGTGGAACATTACAACCTCAAGCACCTGGGGTAGTATAGACCAAGCAGTAGCTTATTTTCACCCAATTGATGTGGTTTTGGGAAAAAGTGAAATTAAAAAAAACAAGTCATTGAAAATGACACAGTCCCCGTTAAATTTTGGAAAGTTCACTTTGTGCACGTCATATTAAAGCAGAGGGGTTGTCGCGAGCGTGTCCTTGAAACTTGAGTTCCAAGTGGCATATACAACAGATTGTTTATTTACATCAAAACATGTGTTCTGTGTAGTAGTAATATGGCCAAAAATAAAAACAGCCATTATTCGGCCATCTTTAATCTGATTATGAAACACACTGATATGTATGATGCATGTGCCAATACGAATGAAAATGGTACATAAATTGTGGAAATATAGTAGTAAGGCCAAAAAGTCAGATGGCTGTCAATCGGCCGTCCGTGACCAGATTTTGAAACATGTATGTGCCAAATTTGAATGAAAACTGACAGCACGCATAAAGAGATACTGCATAAAAAAACAAAAAAACGAGATGCCTGCCAGTTGACTATCTTTGATCCAATTGCGAAATAAATCATCATGAACATGTATCCTAACATGTATAATATATGTACCAAGTTTGAATGACAACTGACAAAGCATGTCCAAAATACAAGATGGCTGCTAGTCGGCTATTTTGAATCAAATCGCTAAACCACTGCATGTGCATATGTCCCACATAAAGTACTAGGCACATGCAAAGAATGAACAGAATCGGTCCAAGGGATTCTGAGATATAACTCCGGACGAACGGAGACCGAATTATAAGTCCCCGTTTTCGGACTTCGTCCGAACGGGAACTAAAAATGTTTTTAGTTTAAATATCTACCCTAGCCTCGCATGGTTGGTGAGTTATTGCGCCCTCGTTGATAGTTTAATGAATGTATGGGAGTGAAATCCTTGAGGGCGCAATAACTATTACAGACCATGTCAGATTATGTCTACCCAAAAAGCTCCCATACATTTTCAGAGACAGAATTTGTCAATAAAATTCTATAATGCATACGTAGTCATGGCAAACTAGTATTTAAAAACAATATCATACATGTAAACACGTTTTGAACAATATAACAACGTTGGGGCATGTGTGGCACACCATGTGCAGAATACCGGTAATAACATATTTACAGTAAAAACCACCAAGATTAAAACAACTGATTACTTACTTTGTTTCAAAATATTGAGTATCTGTAGAATTTGTTTAAACTTAGAAATAATGTAAATTTGTCTGGACTGGACAAAATCTTGATGGATTTCACTGTAAAAGTATACTTGGAAATTCTTCACAAAGTTTTGAAGAGTACAGTACATTCACATCAGCTAAATGGCAATACATGTATATGCAAATGAAGGAAATACTACGTGTCATTTACTGCAAACAAACGTACATTTGTGATTGATAGCACGGAAGTCTATATACCTGAAACACTAATGGAAATCATGAGGTGGTTCTACAGGTAAGTAACCCACCCCCATCCCTAATATGATTAAGCATTTTCAGTTTCAACAACATTTTTGGAAATTGCACAATTGAAAATTATTGCTGCAAGAAAACGAATCGCAAGAAATAGTAAAACAAACCAACTTCAAAAAAAAGGAGAGGAATAGGAAAAACAATGCTTAAAACACAGACAATATGAAAACAAGCCATGCATGGCACAGTCCCCGTTAGTTATCAAATTTAAGATATATAGTTTTGTTTATAGTAATATAGCTGGAATATAACCATGTCAGGAATATGATTTTTTTAACATTAAAATGATTGACATTTGTATCTGATCGTCAAAAAAGTACTTGTCCATATTGAGAGATATTGCTCTGGAACAGCATTCAAAATCAGCCATTTTGAATACATGTATATATATAACATGATGTATAACGAATATATAAAATTTGAATATAATCAGTCAAAGCATTTAAGAGATATGGCTCTAGAAGCCCAATCATTAAAGCAAAATGGCCGCCAGTCAGCCATTTTGAGTAGGATCGTCAAACCAATATATCTGTCTATCTATGACATGATGTATATATGAATATTTAAAATTTGAACATAATCAGTGAAAGCAAGTCAGAGATATGGCACGAGAACCACATTCATTAAAACAAAATGGCCGCCACTCGGCCATTTTTAATTTTATCTGAAAAACAAAATTATTTGCATCAAGGTCCCATAATGTCTAATGTATATACCAAGTTTGAACAAAATCCATCTGTAAACAGCCGAGAAATGCTTGATTTTGATGATTTTTAGCACAAAAATGGCCGCCATTCGACCATCTTGAATCAGATTGTAAAACAAAATGATGTGCATCAAGGTCCTATAATGTCTAATGTATATACCAAGTTTGAACAAAATCCATCTGTAAACAGCCGTGAAATGCTTGATTTTGATGATTTTTAGCCCCAAAATGGCGGCTATTCGGCCATCTTGAATCAGATCAAGAAACAAATTGATGTGCATATGTATAATTTGTCCAGGCATTTCTAAGATACAGGTCTGGACGCACGCACAGATGCACGCACGCACGCACTGCGTCCGAACAGGGACTAAAAAAAATCAAAAGAGGGAACAAATGACAGAAAGAAAAAAATAATTCAAGAATGTAGATTGCCAGAACTTTGTAATCAGAGGAAGAACAAGGAAGTCAGAATCCGAGATAGGAAAAGCCATTGCATGCGTTCAAACATCAGCTGATACAAGTTTTTTTATATTCAAATTTAGTTGTCCAACAAGAGAGTATTTTATTACCAATCCTCTTCAGTCTACAACATCTCAACATCTTCACGATTTACTACACAGCAGTATCTTTATGTTCACATCCTTTCAACTATACTATTTGGCATTTTCTGATGATTTTACCCTAATTAGTTCACAATGTACAGGCTTGCAGCGTCTTTTACATGACTCAAACTTGTATACAACTGAATAGAGCCTGACAGCAAATATTGAAAAAAATCTAAAATTATTGTTTTTAGCTTTGGGAAGACTAAAATCAAATGAGTGATGTGTCTTGCCAGGAGAAAGCTGGATTAGATGCCCTCTATGTTATACTTTGAAATATCTACAAATAATAACAGGCCATTCTTGAGTGTATTTGGAGTGGCTGAATTCCTGGCTAGCAGGAACTAAGTCTTTTTAGTAATTCTTAAAATGTTCATGTGTGTCTCTGTCCTTTTTTGGTCCACACAAGATAGTGTACAGTACAGCCATCAACACTATTAATGCATTATTTTCAGTTAAGAAAACAATAAAATTATTGCTAATTATCGCAAAACCACACTTCAATACTTCGTACAGTAGAAATAATTGGATTGTGATATGTCATAACTAAAAGTTTTGCGCTTGCAAGGCACGCAACAATTTGAATAATTAACAATGAAAGATACATTATTTTGTCTTTGGATTAGATTAGTAACAGTAATTGGGCAAATATCCTTGGGAAGTCGCCTCCGAATTCATTTATTGTCTTTCTCGGTGATGGTTTATGCTACATAGTAGTGAAAGAGGGCGCAAGTCCAGATACACTAACAATGTGGAATCATGTGAATACCACATACATGCCACACACATTTCTCTTAGATCCCTTGGCATCTATGTACATGTACCAAGTTTTATCAAAATCCAATGAGTGGTTCTTTAGATATCAGTGGAACAGAGGGACACAAAAACATATATATACAGACAGACTAACTGCAAAGACTCCCATAGTGTGCTTGGCACACGGAAGTCAAAAATGATATATAGTGTTATGGGGCTACGACTGTCACGGATAATAGAAGAATTATGAATATTAGTATTAGTTGTCAATATAATAATTTTTTACATGGAATCCTATAGAAAATGTTTCAAAATGACTGCTTTTCAGATTATTTTGCAAATTTTTTCTAGGAAACACATTCTTCTTTCTTCATAAAAATGTTAAATATGAAAGACAAGCATGTATGTGAATCATTATACAACAATTTACTTCTTCATCTTTTAAATGTAACGAGCTACCTTAACTTTTTTCTTATTATCTTCAATATTTCTGAAAATGAGCCCTAAATTAGGTTATTTTTGTACCAAACTCTGCAGAAAAGACTATAAATGAGACTATTTTGTGAATTTGTAGTGAAAAGGTTAAGCAGATGTTTATCAACACAGGTTTGACTTTACTTCATATCTCAAAGACTACACACAGAATTAATCTGATATACAATTTGTATAGTGGGAATGGTTACTGTGAAATACCCGGTACTTTATTTTTGCTTGGAATTAATTTTGGCTATTTTCGTCTAAATTGCTCTTAAAAATTAGTTGCCATCACTACGTATGCATTGGAGGTTTTAATGACAAATTCTGTCTCAATCATTCAGTGAAAATAAAATCCAGTGAATATATCTTTTTTCCTATATTTTACATTCAACTTGTCAAAAATCAGCG